GGACCTCTATCAAAATGTTTCCAAACGTCATCAACGGGCCTTCCACCCTTCTTCTGAGCAGAAACACAGTAAATCTCTATGACTTCGGCAGCCCCCAGGTCGGGGCCAGTGGTTGCTGACATTTGACTTAATCTAATAACTCCATAGTGTAAAACGCAGTCTTTAAATGGCAAACGCATGCCTGGAATCTGTTTTTGACTTTCCGCCGTACAGCAAACGCGGAAATGCGGATTCTCTTTCCGCATTTCCGCCAATCAATCTGGGCTTCGCTGCGGAAAGCGTGACGAAACCTATTTCCGCAGGTTTCCGTTTCCGCAGGTTTCCGTATCGGCTCGTTCCCTGAGTTCAAGCTCCACTAGCTCCGAAGTTACGACATGGTCTCAGAAGCGCGCGCTAACGAACTGCAAAACATTACACCCTCCCCTCCTTAAAAACAAGCACCGTCCTCGGTGCGAAACCGTCATTAAGCGGCCATAGTCGTGCGCCTCTCCGATTCCCTTAACGAAATCGGTACCAGGCTAACGAGGGGAATGCAAAAGGGAACCGGAGTCAAGGCAAAACCTTCCCCGCACTGGATACCGGCCTAAAAAGTGGCGCACGACTCCTACCATATCCGGCTTAAGAATCCGGAGACACACACAAGCTGCTACGAAAACGACTATAATCTGACTACACGGAATCCAAATACCCATACGCGAACAAACACGTTAAATGCAATACCACACTGACGTTGAACTGACTGGTGTAATCTACCGGCAGGAACAGAACGAAGACGCACAGACATACCGAATACACATGATGACACACACACACACACATCCAGCCGCAGCTCTATCCTGCTAAGAACTGTACGATCCTTGGGGCATGCTCCGGGAACTTGGTTCTGAACCACGCATAGCGATCTGATAGCCTGAACGCGGTCCAGCTTGGGCTCCTCAGGAAGGCTCGAAGCGCTGGCAGGTTGTGCACGTCGTCATATGGTTCCCACGAGGGGTCCCGTTTACTACTTGTGGACCACTGCACGAGAAACATGACGAACAGCTGTAACAACGGTATCTGCACTGTCATATGGGGATTCTAGTGCAGTAGGGGCTGCAGGTGGAGGTGGTGGAAAGAGCGCTGGATCGTTGTCCGTGCAGGGGAGAAGGCGGCTGATGTGGAATACTGGATGCAAGCGGCCGAGGGAGGCTGGAAGGTGAAGGCGGTATGCAACTGGAGAAATGACGGAGGAGATGAGGAAAGGGCCGAGGTAGCGAGGGCGGAGTTTTGGGGAGGGGTAGGTCGGCAGGTTGAGGTGTTCTGTGGACTGTCGGACGCGATCGCCAACTTTGAAGGTGATGGAGCGGCGATGCTGGTTAGCTGCGGTAGTGTAGCGGGTTTTGGCGGCTTGGATTTCGCGGTTGATGGTGGCATGGATGTCGCTCATACGCTGCTGTAGCTCGGTAGCCTGTGGGTGTGAGGAAGGTGAAGCGGCTTGGGGGCCGTGGAGGGAGATGGGAGTGCGCGGGTGGTAGCCGTGATTGGCGTAGAATGGTGTCATGCCGGTGCTTGCGTGGGTGGCGTTGTTGTATGCTGCTTCTGCGATCGGAAGGTATGATGCCCAGTTGTCCTGCATAGGTTGGATGTAAGCGCGGAGGATCTGTTCAATAGTGCGATGTGTTCTCTCGGTTTGACCGTCAGTTTGTGGGTGGTAGGCGGAGGAGATGTTAAGGGACGTGCCAAGGTGCTCCCAGAAGGTGCGCCAGACGCCAGACATGAAGCGGGAATCTCGGTCTGAGACGAGGGTTGATGTTGTTACAGGGTGGTTAAGCTTCACCAGTGGC